TGGATTTGAAAAAGATTTTATCTTTTATCAAGAGAACTGTGTTATTTTTTACCGAATGTATAATTTTTTTTCGAAAGCAGTGCAACTAATGGAAAAATCTTGTTCGATAGTTTTACTCGCCTACTCACGAGGGATCATCTCAGTGCTTGTATCACAATATTTTTTTACTCGATATTCTATATAAAATTATACAAATTTGTTATCGTAAAATGTGAATATTTCTTATATTGTTTTTCACGTGTAGAGAAACGTCAATTTGTGAATGTCCTTCAGTGACCTGTCAGTTTCGTCTTCTCGATTGCCGATGATATTGCGAATTCGATTAAATTTCGGATACAATATCTTTTGCTTTTACGGATAATAAATTTCTTTGGGAGTGGCGGACCTTGATCTCTCGCCGCTTTCTTGAAAAAATTTTCGCGGAACGGGAACAATCGCTGACCCGCGCTTTCGGCCCACTTCACCTTGCGGGTGTTTATAAACGGAACGAGCGGTAGTCACCGAGTTGAAATTCAAGCGGCGTCTTCCACGCTCGAGGCTTCATCGCCCGCGGAATAAGGATCCTATTTTATTCTTCTGCCTTTTTTTTTTGTTGTTTACTTTGTTCACCGCCGACTGCTAGCCCCGTAACCTGCTTTCGAACAGTTTGCGCGTGCGGAAATTCAGAGATATCTCTCTCACTCTCTTTCTCTCGTATAGTACATTTTTATGAAATACATTTTTCCGAAAAAAATTGTTAAAACTTTTTACGATATGCTTGACTTTTAACGTAAAGTGAAACTTTTCTAGCACGTCACATACCACAGCTGTAGCTTGATAAATTACATTAAAAATAGGTCTAACTTCGTATTTTCCAGAATTGTGATGTAATAAAACATTTCTGAAGCTGAAATCATATCAAATATAAAAAAACTATAAAAAATAATTATCTTTTTTTTTTATTTTGTTTTATTAAATTATGCAACTTTGTTTTTTGTGAATATAAATATAAACAAAATTGACAATATTCAAATACGTTAAGAATATAGCATTATTTTAAATATTTGTTGAATATAAGACTTGCAGGAAGTGTAATATATAACAATAGCTTGTTAGAAACTTGGAGATGCGGCATATGTTTACCTCGAAATTATGCGCACCGTAACATTATATTCTTTACGAAAAGACTTATTATATATGTGCGCGCGAGTTAAACGGTACTACCGACTGATGCGACCGACGCAATTACTAAGCCACGCGGTCAATCTCGCTAACAAGACGTCGCAACACAGACCAATTATTTGATATATCCGCATGAAAGATCGGAATTTTCAACGTATTTATAAAAATACGTATTGCTAATGCGAATTAAAAATATTGTAAGATAGTCGCAAGATAAATCAAATCTTAGAGTATCAATTACAATTTAACCCAGACAGCACAAGGATGTCCTTAGGACGTCCAAAGGGCATCCAGGACATACATGTAGGATATCCTGAGGATATCTTATTTTAATCCTCGGATCTCCTCTGGATGTCCTGAGGAAGAGTAAATGATAGCCGTACACTAGCCTCTGGAGAATCCAGGGAGATCCTGTGGAACATCTTAAGGATTTCTATAGGATATGTTAGGGATATTTTTCATACGTTAAAAGGAACAAATTCTAAAATTTAAATATAAATTAAGATTGCGTTCTGTTATTTACTGCCAATACTAAAAATCTAATACTAAAAATAGTTCACGTTCTTTAATATTTGAGGTTTTCGTGCTGTACATGAATATTTTAGGTTTGGCTTCCGGGTTTGAATCGTGTAATATTTTCAAAACAATCCAATATCTGAATTCCCTATGTTGGGATTGCATCAGAAATTGAACTGATAAAAAATAATTATATTTTTAATTTCCTGTTAGTTGCTCTTTGCATGCTTTATATAATTCTCATGATCAAATCTCAAATACGAGTTTGCGCGTTGCATAGCGGTAAACAAACGAACTAGCGGTTGAATACTATTTTTTGTAAGGTTTTTGGAATGTTGCGCATAGTAACATTTCTCATAAATTATTAAATAAATAATAATTTTGAATATGTGAAAATGTGCGCATCAAATTCAATTATTAATATTAAACGAAATTAATGTTAACAATTAATTGCACATGTATATGTCCTCTGGAAATCCAAAGGACATTCAATATAATAGACAGGGCAGGTATCCTACAGACATCCAGGGGTTATCCAATGGACATTTATAGGACATTAATACTTATTATTACAATACTTAAAATTTCTAAATTATATTAAATAGCCTACATAACCGAAAGTAATCATGTATGCATATTAAATTTTCATAAAATATATTTATAATAATATCTTAAAACATCCTACAAATATCCTGAACCATCCTGGACATATTCAGGATGATCCTGAGGACGTTTTGTGCTGTCTGGGAACTTGTTCCACTTTCTGATTGGTCGATTAAATTAGCCGCCATGTTAGAATACAAACGTTACACGTACAGCCTGACAGCTGTCAATCAAGTGTGGTTGTGTTAATATTAAAAGTTTAAATAAGTGCATATTATAATTTCTTGTTACCACGATAAGTAGAAATGTCTTATATATGTTATATATGAAGAAATTAAGCTGCACATATTTAAAACCTATATATGTATATATGTGTATATAAACACTACTGACGTTTCCGATCCGCGTCCGCAATGCGTAGTGTAACATGGGCTTAAGGGTCCTTGCACATAGGACGCGTCAGCGCATTAAGCCCGAATCACACTAGCGGCTGCGATTGCAATTGCCTCAGCCAATCAGAAACCACCAATTGCAAGTATGATTAGAGCGTAGCAAATCACAATCACAAACGTAATCGCAATCGCAGCCGCGAGCCGCTAGTGTGATTCTGGCTTTACGCGTGCCAAAAAGCAACGCTATAGCCAATCAATTTATAGCTTGTCTGTAAGGCCGGTATTCATAGTCCGTTCTTATATCCAAGATCGTCTTAAGTGTGGTCTTGGGTCGTCTTAAGATCCCATTTAACCAATGAAATGGCCGCATAGTATCTTAAGATCGTACTTAAGACGATCTTGAATATAAGAACGGACTATGAATACCGGCCTAAGAGCGAAAAGTTGATTGGATATCACATCGCTTTTTGTCATGCGTAACGTTTTGATGCGTTTTGTGTACAAGAGCCCATAGTTTCTTAAATGTTTGTTTTTCATGAATAAAAGTATTGGCCAATAGCCGGTGCTAGCCGTTGCATCGTTATTGTAGAATTTTGCCGCGCAAAACATACATGATCGCATGAGTCGTGACAACTACGTAATAAATATTGGAGGTAATTATACGCATATACATTGCCTGTAATTATATTTTGCAGAGATGCAGAAATATCATTCATAATCTATATAGAGAGATTAATTTGGCTATTTATCTTCATTAATTGTCATGCATGTCCGAATGTTCATATGTGGGCTATTAGCTACGCATTTGAGTACTTGTAATTTTCCTCTTACTTTTTTTTCTACGTATGCCTTTTTGAAATTCTGTATATTATTTGATACATATGAAAAAAATCGGCATATGTCGAAATAACATGCGCTCGAAAATGCGTCGCTGAAATATTTGTTTTATGCATCATTAAGAATTATTTTAATAATTTTTTTATTTATTTTTATGCAATTTTTTGTAAACATTATGTAAATTTAATATAATTCGATATGATAGAAATTTAACAAAAATTATATGTATAAAACTAACAATAAAGCTTTATAACCTTAATTTATATTATCATGTTTAATATTAGAAATAATTGTTCAATATTTATGTTTATTCCAAGTTAACAATTTTATGCTATGTGAATGTGAAATAATGTTACATCATATTTTTAACATTCTAGTTGGTTTATTTTTTGTGTGTGAGTGTGTGAATATGTGCAAAAATATATCTTATAAAATCTTATTAAATTATGTTTGTTTTGCTTTAAACTTTCTTTTGTTACTGTCTTTTATATTTATTTTCTTGTAATATCTAACAATAAAATGTACATTTGTTTCAGATTGTTAAAAATGGCAGACTCTGATCATGAGGAAGCAGACATGGATAAATTAGAGCTATCTTCAGATTTTGCAGATATTATAATGACAAAGAAGAGACCACGAGAAGAAGATTCTGCAGAAGATGAATCAAACAATTTATCTACTAAAAAACAACGAAATTTCTTTGATGAACAGACAGAAATATCAAAAGAAGATAACACCGAGACTATTTCAGATAAAAATGGTACAGATGAATATAATGTAAAAGAAGAAAAGCATACAATATATTCAGAAAGCGAACAAAATGTACAGGAAAAATTTCTGTCTGAATTAAACATGCATAAAGAGGAAAATAAAGAAAAACAAGACATTAAGCTAATCAAACAGGAAAACGGGAATGAGATTCTTTTAAACAAGGATTGTTCTATCACGGATGAAAATATAGGAAATATAAAAAAGGAGGTAATAACACATTAATTGAGATAATTTTATGTCATTTTATTTATATTTAGAGATTTTTTTTACATATCCTAATTATATATTTTCTTATATTTTTTATTATATTTTTTCTTCTAACTTTGAGCTAAATTGTTAATGTTGACATTGAAGTAAAATTAAAAATGGGATATTATGTATATATTAAATGGCTTTAATATATAAAAATTGATTATTTTTTTATATTAATTATTGATTAATCTTTTTTTTTAATATACTTAAAAAAAGGATGGTCCACACAAAAAACCTGTTACAAATACAATTGCAATATCTATTTCTAATGATGAGGAAGAAGGAAAAGAAAGTAATGAAGAAATTAATGAAGCAGACGAGCAAACAAAAGAGCAAAGTAAGAAAAATGGGATAAAAAAAAAACATATTGCGAAAAATCGAATTGTGGATACAGAAGTAGTAGATGGATTGGAGCTCTCAGTAGAATGCGCGAGTGATAAAGAAGAACCGAGTTCCGAAAGTGAAAATGAGAAAGAAACAAAGCCGCGCCCGAAGACGATAATTGTTAAAGCTGAACCAAATGAATCAGAACTGGAATGTAGTATGTCAGAGACAGAAAAGTCTGATTCGCAAGAGGTCACTAACACATTGGAGATTAAATCAGAGAAAAAGGTAAAAAAAAGAGGTTCACGAATAAGTTTTAGTAAACTGAAGGCTTCTGAGTCTGAGGGCAGCCAAAATAATAATTCAGATGAAGATTATAGTCCACGGACTAAAAAAAGGATGAAAAAATCTCCAATGGCTAAGAAAACAAAACACTCTGTTGAATCAAAAAGAGGACGAGGTGTAAAGAAACATTCTTCCAAAAAGATTACTGAACACATATCTGATGATGATAGTGTGACTTCAACAGAGAAAATTAATAAAGCAAAAAAAACTGAAAGTGAAACGGAAGAAGAATTATCAGAAAAGGATTCTTCGGCAAACGAAAGTAATAATAATTCTGAAAATGAGAAAGAATTTTTGAAAGATAGAAGGACGAGACGTAGTAATGCTGTAAGTAACAATTTCGTACCGATAAATTAATTTACAAGCTGTTGTATAAATATCTATGTTATAAATATGTGTATGTATATCATATAACATTAAACTATTTTAGGAACCAGATAACAATAGGCAAATACAAAAATTGAAAAAATATATAAAGGTTGCTGGTATAAAAATAAGATCTTATAACGACGTTTGGGCTGATTGTCGGAATAATTCTGCAAGAATAAACCGCCTAAAAGAATTATTAGAAAAAAATGGTATTAGTGGAAGGCCAACATTGGAAAAATGTAAACGAGCAAAAAAAAAGAAAGAGAGAATGCAAGAAGTGTCCGAATTAGATATATCCAACATTATATCTGAAGGTTAATAATAAAGCTTTATTTATTTTATAATATTGTAAAGAGCTATATTATACAGATATTAAATTTATATTTCTAGGACGTGTTACGCGCGCAAGAAGAAATATGAATAAAAGCTCAACATCTCCAGATACACCACAACGATATCGAGAAGCTCGCAAACGTATTCATAGCATCGTTGATACTGATTCAGAATAGAGCAGGCTGGCAAGAGACCCACAATTGTTAAGCAACATAAATATCTAAACATGTATGGATAAAAGCATACCAGCATATTGCGTATGTATATAAAATGTTTTCTAATATTATTCATATATTTTCGTATATCATAATTATCACTTCTTATAGTCTTTTTCTATTTCTTTTCTTCAATGAATTATTATGTAATTATACATGATATATTAATTGGAAATATGGGAAGGGACTCATTTTTATTATATTGATTCGTTACTTCTACTCGTAATTAAAGTAAATTATTAAACATGCAAAAAATATAATTTACATAAGCTTCCAACACATATATTTAGTATGAAAAGAATAAAAAAATTTCGTGTGCAGAAATGTAAAAAAAGGATTATAAATGAAACAAACAAAGAATTTAATATTGTCAAATTGTAAGATAGATGTGTTTTGCTTAAATGAAAGAATGATTAATGATATATTTTAAAATACTAAGAATTAATCTATAATATATAAGTGCATTGAATATGAATATATAAATGAATAAATAATTAACATGACAAAACAGCCGCGGGCCTTGTAAAAGCGGATCTTGTGTTCGATTGTGTGCGTGTTTGCATAAATAAAGCTTTGTGCGAATTTTACAATATAGCAATCGCACAAGCAGGAACATGAATTTTTTCCACGAATCCTTATATCTCCAGCAAATAAATATTTATATTTGTTAACAACAAACATGACTTTATAGTATTTTATTGTTTAATGTGATATATTCTATATATATATGATATATCTATAAATATATTTGTAGGAATCTGATGGAAAGGAGGCGTAAAAAAATACAATATTACGTACGTTTACGTTACCAATTTAGCTTGTAGTATATTTTGAGAAAATATATACAATGAAAAAATATCAAGAAAGCGAAAACTTGAGAACGGATGTTGCACATGTATCTTATGTATTCATAATTAACATTTTTTAGATTCCAAACGCTGCATCAAACTCTTCTTGCGAGATCTGCAATTAGATATACAAACATTATATATAAAATGATAAACATGCGAAAATCATAGAAGAAAGAAAAATTGATTTTTATAAATAGAAAAGAATTAATATATTACCTTCTTCTTCTTGAATTTTTTAATTAATGCTATATCTTTTGCCAATTCCTCGAGATCCTCTTCCTTAATATGTTTCCTTTTTTTTTTATTGGAAGTTGTTGAAAGCCCCTGTTTCAATTTCTTTTTTTCCTTTCGCTTACTTCGTTTCTCTTGCCTCTCGAGCTTTCTCTTCTTGCTTTCTGACCAGGATTCAGTTTGTTTCTGTTTACGTCTATGATTAGTTGACCAAACGCCTGAATTTTGATACTCAGTCAATTTCTCTATTCTGTGTAATTCGCGTTGTTTGTTCGCATAAGGTATCGCGTTTATATCGATTTCAGGGCTAACAAAAAACGACACATCTTTTCCTTTAAGCTCGGGCATTTTTGGCATTCTCAACAGTCCAAAACCCATCGCCAGCTTTCCTATATCGATATCTTTTAATTGAAAAATTAAATTGCATTCATGTTTATTATAAGATTGTACGTATGAAACGAATGCGCGGTTTGCTTTATCAAACATAAGTCGATCTTTTGGTTGCAGGTGCCTCATACATTGCAAGCATTCTTCAATAGTATTCTCATTTGGTTTTGTTTTTATTTGTTGCAGTTCTACTTTCTGATTTCTTTTAACAAAGTCTACATATGCATCTTCTGTTTCTAAAAGAAATAGCAATGCATTTCCTTCATTCCCGATCCTAGCAGTTCTACCACATCTACAAGGAATATAAATTATTTTATAAAACATATCTTTAAAAGAAATATTAATACTTATTATTTCCTTATATATAACATTGTTACCTATGTACAAAACTACTGGCAATAGATGGAGAATCATATTGTAACACCCAGTTTATCTCAGATATATCAATTCCACGAGCCATTACATCTGTACATATTAAAATGCCATTTTCAGCATGTCGAAATTGATCAAACACTTTATATCTCTTGCTTTTCATTTTACCATGTAAAGCTAGCACATTTATTGATGGTAATAATCTGTAAATACATGTATATATACATATATATATTTTATACTCAACCATAAAATTTGTTATTTTTAATATGGAAAAATTAATCAGAGAGATTGTTTGATTGAAAGAAACGATTATTGTAATTAAAAGTAACAAAGATATTACATTAATAATTAAATAAAATAAAACATTTTGTATATGAAATTTAACAGCAAATAATATATATTTTGTTAATATTTAAGTAAAATATGTGCCTTACACTTGTATAACCTGACTGAAGTAATCCACACACACACAGGTAGATAAAAATATCATATATTTTGTTTTAAATCCTATTGAACGTATAAAATCTATCATTACTGATAATTTGTGTTCAGGTTGAACAATTGTGTAACTGTTGTTCAAATTTACAGGCGTTGAAACATTAGATTTCTCTTTCACAACTATCAATGCTGGATTTCTCAGACCTGCCCTAATTAATTGTTGCAATTCTTTCGTCTGTGTTGCAGAAAATAATCCTGTTCTTCTAAGACGTGGCAAATAGTTTAAAATGCTGTCTAAAGTTGCAGAGAATCCTAAGTCTAGCAATCTATCTGCTTCATCTAAAATAAGAAACTCCTAGAAATAACAATATATTTGATTAATAATCCAAGAATTCTGATTGCGTATAAATAATTTTATTACAAGAAGATGTAATTTCATTACCAAAGATTTTATACACAAACTCAAATTTATGGAACTATAATTGGATAAAATGTCTTGTAATCTGCCAGGTGTGGCAACGATAATGTTCACTCCCATCTTCAAATTTTCTGCATCTTCCTTAAGTGTCACACCTCCAACTAACAATATTTGCTTCAATGATGGAATTCTTTCTAAGAATTTTTCCAAAATTTCACTAATCTGTGTAGCCAGTTCTCTTGTGGGACTAATTATTATCGCTCCTACTTCCATAGTTTTCCATTTTTCTGGTCGTTTCTAGATATTTTAACATATGAAAACTTCTTAATGCTTTATAATTCGTTATCAAAAATTAAGATAAATGTTTAGAATAACAATTTTGCTAGAAAAAGAAACTATATCAATCTTTTAAGTTTTTTATGTTGATAATTATTACATAATTAAAATAATTTAGAAAAAGAAATATGTATATATATTTATATTGCAAAAACATTCTGACAATATTCTTATATTGCGCTCTATTTTAAGTATGCTATGTATAATATATTATATAAACTATATAAAGTATACATGTATGTGT